AGTAACAACACAAGTGGCTCTTTTATCTTCAAAGCAATGCTTAAAAGCCTTCAGAAATAGAAGCGTGCAGCTAGAATTAGAGGCAGGCGAGACTGCAGTGTCAGGAATATCACCGCAAGTGCTCTCTGCTCTGTGCAGTGTCGTTCTCAGCGCACTTCAGACCATGCACAGAGAGMTTGTCAGTGCACGTATTATGGGATCATAGAAACACGCATACTTAGCTATAGTCAAAGTACAAAGACTCTTCTCAATATGTCTTTTAGTGCTGACAAAAGATACACAGAATAAAGAATATTAAATTGTTGGTCTTTGTCCTCTGTTTAAAGCATGCTGGGATTTAAAAAGGGGATTTTGGACATGAGAGTCCAGGTCCTGTTGTGGAGCAGTTTTATCCAGTTTTAATGGTATTTAACCCTTTAAAGAGCAGGAGAAAGCACCACTGGCCCTTGCAGGACTGGCAAGTTGTTTTTTAACATAAGGAATAAATGAATGTAAGTATTTACTTAGCCAACCACGGCAAGATGCAAACCGAGATGACAGAAACAACCAAGTAAAGCTAAAGCTGAACAACATACGGTCCGTGGTTGCTTATTCTCTCCCCAAAGCATAACATGCCAAACTCATCACTTGCGCATCACACTCACAGGCGGTTGCATAATTACTTTCCATGAAGAATGGAAAAACAGCAGTTTTTCCCTCAGATCTCTTCATTTAGCATGGCTTGCCACACCTAACGAAGATAAATGGGAAGAGAAGAAACCCATTTTATGAACTTTAATTAAAGGAGGTTCTCTGCCACGTTGGTGATAGTCCTCTTTAAGGGAAAATTTCCATCGTTGGTTATCATATAATATTTTCTCAAATGAAAGCACTAGCGGAACTGGTCTCAAGTTCCTCTCTTCCACTAAAAGTCTTTGGCTTTGCAAACCCGTATATGGTGTTTGCAGCCCCTATCTGAGTCACATTCATGCTCTTGCTTTCACCATGTAAAACCTTCCGAGTTGGGCAGCAACAGCCTAGCATGACRCAGGTGGGATGGAGGAGTCAGGCCCACAGCTGTTCTTGACTAACCTGGAATTAGTTTCAGGCACTGACTTCAACACTCCCCCTTCTTACTCAGCATTGCACTATGCTGTCTTTGACACAACCACTTCTTAACCAGAATGTATTTTATAACTGATAAACCTCCATAAGCTTCACCATGAAGAAGTAACTCCTCTTAACTAGCAGGGTGCTATCTTCACATACTTAAAAAGAAGCAATAATGCATTAATCTCTGTCAATAAGGGCATTAAAAAAAAAAGAAGGGGGAGAAGGTGTCAAACATGCAGCCCTATGGCACGCTGTCCACAAGTAAAACTAATCTCTAAAGCTAGTTTATAAAAATCAAAGGGAAATATAAATTCAGTTTCACAAGAACAGAAGAAATAGCTTTAATTCCCAATATAACTTAAATCATTGCAATTAAAATACTGAAGGGCCTGTCTTCTCCAGCAGCACTTGCCCAGGCCTGACAGGAGGACTTGCAACAATCTTAAGCAACACTTAAGCAACAGAGAAGTTTACACAACTTGTATCTTGCTATTTTATTCATTTTCTTCTATATTCCCTCCACACATACCCTACACAAACTGCTCCAAGTTTTATAGTTTCTCCATCTCTCCAAACTTGATTTTGCTGACCACAATGATTTAGCTATGCATCAGCTAAGGAATATACCCAATTTCCTTACAGGTCACAGCAAGGTTGTAACCAGAGAAGAGAATTTCTGACTTACCCCACATAATTGTTTTCTGAAAGCTTAACTTTTCTTTTCTGTAACATTCAGTAATAATTTACATTGGCTATCTATAAAAATAAAAAAAAAAAAAAAAGAGAGAGAGAACACCAAAAATATGAACATCTATGGTATGTGAATTTTGATGAAACTGAGGCTTATATTAGTCATTCCTAACCCTGCCCTGGCAGCAACTCAAGCCAGGTGCATGTGCTTAGGAAAAATTCAAGACAAGTGCAAGGCAAACAGCCAGGATAGCCTCATGGAATGTGGACAGAAAAAACGGAGAGGGAGCTTGCCAGGAAGAGCAAGGGTAGGTATCAGGAATGTCAACAAGAGTATTCTTGTTATGAAAACCTAACTCCTTGAAGAAGCTGATCATTAATGGAAAAATAAGCATTTTACTGTTGTAATGTAACATGTTCAGCCTCAGAGAGCTCTGCCTAACTAGTGAAACTCTTGATAGCAGCCTGGACAAATGAAACTCAAGCGATATGGCTATATGAATGTGTATGGGCTTACAAGGAATGGTGTGTGCCAAGAACACCTCCGACTTTCCATTCTGGCAAGGGTGACTATTCAGAAGCAAGAGAGGGAAAGGGGGAGGCTGTAGGAGCAACAAGCATGTTAATATTGAAATAATTGACTGTGAAAATTAAAAAAAAAAAATCACAGAAAAGTGCTATTTTTCACAAGGAAAGACTAATCAGCTAAGTCAACACATGGAATTTCTCATCCCATTTCACCCTAAGAACTACCACACTGCATTAATGCAAACTTTGCAACAACAGTTCCTTCATTTTCCCCTTCACAATCATTAACAATTTGTAAAAGGCAAGGCTCAAAACAACGTAGTAATATTTCTAAATAATAACAGCTTACCCCATCCCTGATTCTAGGCTCAAGTATTTAAAGAAAAGTGTTTGTTAAGCACACTAGTGTTTTCTTTTTGCCTTAAAAAACAGAGAACACTTGAATTCAAAGCACTGTTTGATACAGATTGAAGATTAATACTGGGGTGGACAGTGTGATAGAAATAAGCCTCTAAAAACGCATATCTTAAGTGGGTAAAATCTTACCTGTGGGTTACAGAGTGAGTGCTCTGCTGAAGAAAGAAGACTAAAAGAAGAAGCAACAGCAGTTCAGAAGGGGACACTCCCCTCCCCTCCCCTCACCTCAGTGGAGTGAGGCTGATTTGCTCCACCTGAAGCTCTCTTTCTGCCTAATTAAGCAGATCTCACCTGGTTTGGGTCATCAACACATTTCCACATCCCAGTGGATTTGAAAGTAGCTTGGGTTACAGCTAGCACTTTTACTGGACAAGGTACTTGAACATAAAACAAACGTGGATGTCTTCAAATTCTGTGTTTTAATACTTTTTTTGCTCAAGATTGTCTTAAATTTCCACCTATATTTATCATTCAAATTTCCTGATCACACTAGCTCAATATAGAAATAAATGCACAAAAATGTGTTGATGTGTATATACAAATGTGTGTGTACACACACACACACACACACACACACACACACACATTCAAAGTTAAAACCCTACAGTCACACTGCTTTTCCCCCTGTCACATGTGACAATTTCAAGTTTGGGACCCACAAGCTCGTTTATGCTCTCGTATCTTCACAGTCCCAACGAAATGCTGCTTCCTTTAGCAGCCCATCAGCACAGCGCTTGCATGGGTGCATAAACCTTTTATGGAGTAGGACAGTTCATGAGGGCTTCACAAATAGCATGTAAATCACACATCAACAGCCAGCTACAGTGGAGCTGACCACAGGGATGCTATCAGTAGAAAAGCAACCCCTGTGGCAGTGTAAAACCAGTTTAGCTTATCCCTTTCACCATGCTATTGCTTTCTTTTCCCTTTCTCTCACCGCTTTCATCTCCTCTTCTGCTCTACTCAACAATCTTTAACCTACAGGTGTCACCTACTTATTAACATGCATTAGTACTAACAGTCCTGCCAAATGCAACAGTGCACTTTGCAATTCACCATTTACTCACAGATAATGAGGTTTTGGTCTTCAATGGCACTAAGCCAAAGCTTTTATTTTATTTTAATTTCCCAACCTACAATCCAAAGATAAAAAAAATACACTTTTTTTTTTTTCTTGAGCTCTTCCCTCAAGATAGACAGGCCCCACGTACTTCTCCCTACTAACGAACATGACAGAATATATAAAAATACACATTGCTCAGAGAGGGATTATCCACTTGATCCCAACTTTATCAGGAAAGACTTTAAAGTTGGACTGGAATCACATTCCAGATCCATGAGAACTCACAAATTTAAGTCTCACATACTGAATCAGCAGTGGACACATGGTGGATCTCTATGTCTACTGGCTCATGAGGATCAAATACATACTGCTCTGTGAACTCTGTGAATTTACAGAGAGCTGCTTTCTAAGACTTGACAAGACTTCTAGGACTTGTGCTCTCAGCACAAAAGCCCATCCAAGCAGGCAACTGAAGACCATGCAGATCAGTATTTTAAAGAGAGAACTCCTAAACATGTTAGGAATCTAGTTGACAATTAGGCCTACAACCTAAGAAATATGAGTTTATATTTACAGTGCTCACTGGAAACGTGTTGGCTACATTAGGGATAAATTAATGTATGTAGGAATTTGTCCAGRAATCTATTAAGGAGGGCACTCCATTAATCAATCCCAGAAGTAGTCAGGGCATAATTCAATGTTTCAGTGTGTAATCAGAGAGATAGATGTTTCCACATACAGCTTCTCGCTAATAGATAAAGTCGTATCAAATCACACTTTCACACTTACAGAAGCTCTCTATATAATTTCTGTGGGTAGGTGCCAGCCATGCATGAAACGGGCAGGCAGGGTTAATCTTCACAGCTTTGTGTCTCTCAGAAAAACACCAGCTGATTTTTCAGAAAGTTTTAATAGTTTCTAGATGGTATAATCTCTAAACAAGAAAAGATAAACAGTTCCATTTCTAGAGGCGGTGCTATGAAACCACATCCTACACAGGAGTCTAGGAGCAACTCCTGCACTTACCTTCAGTACAGTGCCACTTGGAGCACAGCATCTCAGCCTACAAGGTGCTTCACATCTGGAGCTTCAAAGACACCAACTGGAGCTAAAAACACTTAATACCAACAGGGGCACCAACAGGGGCACTAATGGCCTGGATGCTACAGCGCTCTAACAAACAAAAACACATCAAAGAGATTTAATTTACCTTGACCTTGTAGTACTCCTCGACTTCAGGCCTAATGGAATCAAAATCACCACTGATGTAATCAGGCAAGAAGCTGAAAGGAAAGCAAGGAGCAGTCAAATGAAAAAATCAACCACCTTATTACATTTAGTATTTCTTTTTAAGAGAGCTAAAGGGCAAAGGTATAACTAGTCATCTCTCAAAGGAAGGGGAAAAATACGTTAAAGATATGCTAAAAATATGTTAAAAGAAAGCTGATGTAAGTTAACAGTCTGACTGCAAAATCGTTAAATTTTCTTTTATGAGTAAGCTACACCCTCTTTAGATGTTCACACATCTCCACAAGTCAGAGTGTATTTTTTATTTGTAACAGTATTTGTTTGTTTATTTATTTAAATCAATGAGCAAGTCACATTCCGTGTGACATCTCAAGCTGCAGCAGCAATTCCAAATGCCAACTCTGAAGTCGCAGGCAAACAACACTAAAGGCTTAGATGAGAGAGAAGGGCCRTAAGAAAAGGTGCACAGCGGTTCTGTGGCAATAAACAGATTTTCCTTGTACCTTTACAGAGGCAAAGGCATTAAAAACAAACTCACTTTAGGYCTTTATAACAGTGCTCTCAGATGTATGTGCTTACCCTGCCGCACTGTGCGGCAGCCCAGCAGGTTGAGCAGCACGAAAAACAGGCAATTGTCAAGGAAAGTCAACTTGTTAAGACACATATTAACTTTGATGAAAAAGTCCCTGTCTTAAGGGAGTTTATCTTACTGAAACACTGCACGCAAATCCAAAGCTATCTTTGTCATTTTCCTCCCCGTTAAGTACAAGCTGCAGCGCTTCTAAATAACCAAAYGCACCCCTTGAGCAAGTGCCTCTAGAGGCCTAATTGTCTGGAGGCAGAATTAGCCCCAAATGTATCTTTGCGAAGTCAAACGCTTCAGCACAGCCTCTGCTCTCCTCCCGTTTAAAACCAGTTGAGCACTAGCAGCTAGCTGAACCGCAGCGTGTTCACCACCAGCAGGCTCAGAGCAAGCAAGCACCTCTGCCGCCCAGGGGTGCTCTGCAAGCACCCTGTAATTTCTGCTTTCCTGTAATTTCTGCTTCCACAGCCTCCACGTGTCTGCTCTGCCAGGAAGAAATCCATCAAAACATTCTCTTTAAATAGCTCAGCTGCAACTCCTTCAAAACCAGAAAGGATTTCTAGATAGTAAGTAATTACTTCTGGCTGGGAAATTTTAACTTTCAAAAGGTCCAAGCTTCACTTTACGTAACACCGCCTCTTCCTAGAAGAGCACCAAGAGCTGCTCTTCTTTCCCTTACTTTTCTTCTGTTCTTCCCTTTTCCTTCTTCTGCATCTAGGACCAAGGAGGATGGGAAGAGGCACTCATGATTTCCAAAACCAGCCATCAGGAGCAAACTGCAGCTCCCACTGCCTGTCTCCCGAACAAGAGGAAACAGCTCTGCGTTCTCTTCCCAAGCTGCCGGCTTCTGCGGCTGATGGAGCAGCAGRCCAGTAAGAGCAGGCCAGCTCTCCACCCAGAGGCACAAGCTGGGCCTCTGATTTAGCACTCATGAGCTCTGTGTGAGGAACTGCCTGATTCAAGTCAACAGCAATTAGTCAAAGYCTTTTCTTCTCCTATTAACAAGGCTGAAGAGGAGCCATTGACATGTGGCAGGCTGGCCTAAGAGTGATTCCCCTCAGAGAAGGGGCACTAGCTGAAAAATTAAAAGGAGAAATACCCGGGATACACATGGGAAGAGCTCGTAGTGAAGTAATTTAAGAACACATTGTAAAAAGTGGTTTGCAACTTGCTTGTTTTGTAGTATTGCTCTGCATTCACTCCAGGGTATGGAGCAGTTCCGGAGAGCAGGCCCGAGTGAATCCATTACAGAGCTCCCGCCTGGCACTGGCCACCCCTGCTCACRGGAATGCACTGCCCAGAAAAATGTAACGAGGCACTCTGCCTCTATTAAGTTTAAACAGCAGCCTTTAAAAAATGTATCGTGCACCATACATCATATATTGTTAATTTTAATCTCTAAGCACTTAGGAGGATGCAGTCTGCTGCACTTCAGAAGCATGTTTTAATCAATCTGTACACCTATTAATTATCGCTAAGTGTATAAGGTCACAAATAGTTCAGCCAGCTTAATTCTCCTCYCATTTACACTGATATTGAGCGGGAGTGAACTGTAACCCTGACAGGGCCAAAGCATTAAACTGCTATGAGACCAGTGCAGTCTAAGCCATTTCTAGAGCTCTCAGGAAGCGTAACACGCGGTGTGATCCTCGGAGGGCAGGGCTCAGTTGGAGTTTTTCCTTTCTCTTAGCTACCTTTCCTTGGCTCTTGCTCCTCTGTTTGCTCCAGGATGTTTTAGAGCCATAGGATATCCATCTAAATTGGCTACAGAATAAGGAAGGCCAAGAAGGATTCCAGCTGAAGATCCAAAGGTGCTTCTATAGTTAAACGATTAACTCAAAAAAGCAGRTTTTCAGTACGAAAATCTGTAAAGGTTTAGTCAAGCTTTCCTAGAAAAGACAACATGGTCACAAAAYTGTGAGAGAGTGGATCTTCTCCAAGGGGATCTTATTCAGATAGGGCAGAGGCTGAATGCTCCCTGAGCAGCTTGGTAAACTCCCCAAATGCTGGCCTGGATAAAACCATGTCTGCAATGTCCCCCACCCCCCAAAAAAGCCTGAAAACAGATTCCAGAGGATTTGCTGTAGTTTCAAGACACATTATTGAGGTTTTAGTCACCTGTACCATAAGGCAGTAATTAACTCTTGCTAGAGACAGATTACAAAATAAGCAGAARCCATTTCTCCCCCTTGAGGTTTGCCTGCTAGGCAAGCACAACTGTGCCTTTTGTCTTGGGGGGGGAAGAGGGGGGGGAACCTACTGAAACTACTGGCCACAGAGCTTAATACTGGAAGCAGTTTTATGTTGAAGCATTCAACACCATTATGTTAAATCTAAAACATTTATAGACCTGGTTCTTCATTCACTCATTGAAGAATTCAGCACGGAGCGCTAAATATGCCTTTTTTATTCTTTCACACCGCACTTTAGCAGTTAGTTCATAATTAAATACTGTGTTGTCTCCTTAAATAAATTGCCCTGGTGTAAGTGTTCAGTGGTATCATTAATTCAAAGTTGGAGTTTCCTGGTACTATTGACTTTTYTCATGATGTAGCTCCTAGAGCACATAACTGCACGCAATTAACCTTTTTTAAACAAATGTTAACATTGGAGACTTGAACATTTAAAGACAGTGTCTGTGCTAACCTTTGCTTCCTTCAGTTATAGCACGAGGAACAATCCCACGCAGACAAATCACACATATCCCATCGGTAGCACCTGAGGGCAGAGCGGGTTCCCGACCTTCTTTTAAACTATTAAAAATAGACTGAAAAAAGGGGGGCTTTTACCTCAGAGTAACAAACACCCACCAGCTCCTCGGGAGCAGGACAACACCGTGAAGATGAATGAAGCCATCCTTGCCTTTCAGAGTCAAGTCATTAGCATCTCATAGGTGGGTACTTGGAAAAGCAAGCACTTCTTCTGCATAAACACTACATTCAGCTTAAAGAAAAATAAACCTCTGTSTGAAGACACACTCTCAGCCTGCCCTCCTGACTGTCAGACTGTCACTCTTGACAAGAATAAGGGCTATTCTCAGCAAAAAGATGTTAAGTTAAAGCCTGCTAAAGGCGGCTGCTAATTGCTATGAAGATCAAAGTGTCTTTTCAACTCCCATAGACTGCTCTAGCACAAGTAAGTGTTATTTGTATTTTGTCTCAAAGCATCTCCCTCAGGTGCCTCATCCAGTTGTACAGAGGTCCGCCCTCGCAGGGGAAAGAGAATGTTGGCTGGCAAAGCATATTCAGAGCTAACATAGACTGCATTTATAGGCTCCTTTCCAGTGCCACCTGCAAGGCTCCCATGCCTGAAGCACACCTGAAGCTCAGAAGCTGCAGTCAGGGCACTGACACTATTAACTAACTTCCAACATCACAGAAACCACTTTGTTTTCATTCATCTCTCACTGGCCACTCTAAGCCCTRACAATAACAGGCTGTGAAGAACAGCTTTTAGAAGCTCCTCAACCCTCTGCTTCCCAATCAAARCTCCTTCCAAGTCAGCCAGCCCTCTTTTCCATACCCCATGGTTCACATCACTGGTATTAGAATMCACAAATCTTCCTTCTTTACTATACAATATTTGCATTATGGTAGCATGGTGGTGGCCACTGCACTTCATGCTGCAATAATACAGAAAAACAAACAACTCCCCCCAGAGCCCATCCCTTCTTCCAAGACACTGTCAAGCTCTAATGCAATTGACTGCACAGAACAGTAATTCTTGAACATTTGTATGATTAGGGTAAATCTGTATAACAAATTTGGCAAGAAACCCTCTACTGAAGACCCACGTTTCACTATAATCGGGAAGTTCTATGGTTAAAACTACTTGGTAGTATTTGGCAACCTTRGAAAGGAGCTTCTTTTCTCCTTCATTTATTTAAATACTTGGTGCTTAAGAACATAAAAGTATTATTTTATTTGYCAATGCTATGATTTAAAGAAAAGGATAAAACTGTGTGAAGATATGAGGGCAATAATGCATTCATTTATGCTTGCCTGGCACGCAGTGTCACCTTGCAAATAATAAAAAATATCTGAAATAAATTGCAGAACAGATTATCCTCAGCTCAAACTGCTACGCAAAGCAGGCATCAGGGGGACATTTTCTGTGGGGGGAAAGCCAACTAACTCCCATTRTCATTAACAAAAATCATGCCACTAATTCCCTGCTTTGAAACTTTATCTCTTAGTGGCAAGGAAAGGGCTTAATGACAGTTGCAACTATCCTTCTTTTCTTTTTAAATTGCCAATGTTTCCAAATCTTCTTCACTTAGTTACAACCAATACAATACGAAGTAAGAAGATATTCCAAGATTTAAGAACTGGTCACTTGCTTTTTATGATGCTGCATTCCCTCTTGTTTTCCCTGGAAAACAAAACCAAACCAAACCAGGAACCAGTACAATAAACTTCCACAGGTAACTATTTCTTTCTATTATCTACAGAC